AATGGAGGCCTCAGGTACTTATTTAATTATGTTTATTTCAACTCAAATTCCTTTATTAGAATCAACAGCGAGATATATGAGAATAATTTGAATTGCATAATGAAATATTAGAAAAAGTGGAATGGAATGGGTTGTCAGTTTGTATACCTGGGAGATTCTTTTTTGGGAGGGGGGTGGTTACCATGATTGAACTTAGGGGTATTTGACCACCGAGCCACACCCCCAGCCTTATTTTGTATTTTATTTGGAGACAGACTCTGAGTTGCTTAATACCTCGCTGTTGCTGAGGCTGGCTTTGAACTCATGATCCTCCTGCCTCAGCCTCCTGAGCTGCTGGGATGTAGGCATGCCCTACGATGCCCAGAGGAGCTCTTTTAATGTCAGGATTATTATTATTATTTTATTATTTAAAGAAGTTTCACTAACTTAGTCCTCAGTAGAATGTGTTTTTAGACCTAAGTCAAGAGCTGGAAGTCTAGTTCAGTGGTAGAGCACTTGGCTAAGCATGTACAAGGCCCTGAGTTTGATTCCCTGCACACACAAAAACCCAAAACAAAAACAAAACAAAACAAAAAAAAAAGAAAAAGAAAAAAACCTAAGTTAACATTTTTTAGTGTTGTATTCTATTTTTTTCTACTTTATTTTGTTGTTTGTTTCTAATGGGTATTTGAGAAAAGGTTATTTGATGAAGTCTTTGGATGTACTGTTCTGTTTTGTTTTTGTCCTTTGCTGTTTAAGATTCAGTGAAGTTAATTTTCTTTTCTTTAGATGGACCTTTGGGGAAAAAAAAAATAATTTCACCCGTAAGCCAGACCCCTGCCTGCCCACTGCATCTGTGCCTTAATTTTTGTTCACCAATGAACTCCAACTTTATCTTGTAAACTTGGAGGGGTTGGAAAGCAGAGTGCTCAAGTGCATTAAACAAAAGGTTTAGAGATCAGGGCAGTTCCATTTTGAGATTTCATGAGCATTTGTTTCAGGGAGCTATAAAGTTGAAGGTACTCATGTAAGCAAAATATTTATATTCTGATTACATGTGCAAGTGTTTTTTCTTTTTAGCTTCAAACTGAAGGCATGAAAAAATTGTTCATACTCTCAGGTTATTACTTCTAGAAAAATCAGGATTACTTACAATTGGACTAATTATCCACAGATTTCTGTGTTACCATTTTAGAAAAGGGCTTGCTATTGATGTATAAATAACCAGACTGAAACCTTGGGCTCTATGGAGAGCAACTAGATTGTTATTTCCTTTTTGTGCCTGATGAGGAATGTCTGCTTCTTTCAGCTACCGTCTGTGTGATCCATCTGAGAAAAAAATATACAAGTCATCCCCACTTTTTGGAATTTATTATTCAGTGGAAAAAATTGGAAACCTGAAAGTTGGCGACCCTGTGTATCAGATGGTATAGTAAAGGATCTGCTGGGGTGACACGTGAAAGGTTAGTTTTGCTTCAAGTACTCAGGTTCTCAAAGCTGGATTTTCTTGTGTTAATATAATTTTTTTATTGTGCTGCTTTAATTTTTGAGTGAATATTTTATATTCTGGTCTTTGGAATTGGAAAATGCCCTTCATTTCTATTCCCCTCTGTAATTATGTATTTCCACCTAGCTTTCTCCATCCTTCCTTCCCATTCAATTATAAAATGCAGATGGAGAACCCTGGCAAAGACAGGTATATGTTTCCAGTTCATTAAGGAATATCCATAAGGAATAAGGAGGTGAAGGTGAGCCATTCTCCAGAGTTATATATTTATTTTTTCTGTCTTAGATAGAAAAGTGAAGGGGAAGTGTGTAAATTATTCAAAATCAACTTGGGAAAAATATTTAAATCAAATGGTTTTTTTAAAAAAAATCAAACATGTTTTTTAAAATGTAGTTTGAGTTTGAAAAAAAAAAAAAATCAATGCCTCAAGGTGACTGCATCCTGAAGCATGAGGTAGAAAATAATGTGCTCACATTGATTTCCCTGGACCAGAAAAACCCTGAGTCCTGGAGGTGTATGCCTGACCCTCATATTATAGGAATAAGAAAGTCAGTTGGAAGACCTCACATTGAAGTTTTGAGTTAACTCCTCTATAAAATCTATGACCCTCTTAAAATATCTTTATCTCTAAAAACCTTGACCATCCTTCTTTCTTATTCTGGCCTGAACTTCTCACTACTGATGTGATGGTTCCACCCATCTGACTGATGATGTGCAAAGGTGGTCCAGACAGGCCTAGATTGAGCATTAGACAGCCTTGGATTTGTAGTTCTAACATCTTCCTTCTTGGTTGAGTTATTTAAGCTAAGTATCAGTATCCTTTTCTGCACAGCGAGAATGATGCTAGTTCTTACCAAAACAACCAATAAAAGTTATTTTCAGTATTAATCCATATAAAATTACTGCATTATAGCAGGCACATAGAAAGTGCTCATTAAATAATAGCTATGATTTTTTTTAAAGAGAGAGTGAGAGAGGAGAGAGAGAGAGAGAGAGAGAGAGAGAGAGAGAGAGAGAGAGAGAGGGTGAGAGAGGGAGAGAGAGAGAGGGAGAGAGGGAGGGAGAAAGGGAGGGATGAGAGAGAGGGAGAGAGAGAGAAAGAGAGAGGGGTGGGAGAAAGAGAGAGAGAGAAAGGGAGGGGGTGAGAGAGAGGGAGGGAGAGAGAGAGAAAGAGAGAGAGAGAGGCAAGAATCATGAAGCCACACACAAACATAAGGCC